ACTAAAAGACAAACTACAGTATACTGCAACAATGGGGCTCAGGTATGATGGCATTATACTTACAAGAGATACTGATATTTCTGAACACTTTTACGTTGCTAAAAATAGGTCCAGCAGGGCAACAAACCCAAGCAGTCAGACACGTCATCCATACTTATTCGGAAGAGAAAATAGAGGTGAAATATGATCCAGTGTAAACATCCATTAGAGTTTACAGATTGACTATTGTTGCCCCGCTGGACCTGTTTTCTGCAGTATTGCCATGTTTCAATTTAGATCTCAGCAATTACTTTGGTGAATAAAAGGTTATTGCAACACATATAACCAGGGGGCAGAGCTATGAAAATGTAACCCATGCTGTAAAAACACCTGCACCTCATTGATCTTGCATCGCTGCCCTCCCCAGGATAGAATGAATGGTCTGCAGCAATCAATAGCAAGGAGTCTCATTAACGCTACTTAAGCATGTCATGAAGAAAGGGATCAATTGCACATTACAGCTGGATAAGCTCACACACTGTGACGCCTGTCAATGAAGCAATTACTGGAAGCATAAACCCGTAAATATCAACCAATTTTTCTATTATACAGATTTCTATATTATTGGAGTAAACAGTCAAGAACATAACGAGCTCTGACTTGTGTGGATGGTGACAAACGCATAATAACGGTGACACACACGCGCACACACACACACACACACACACACACACACACACACACCTCTATACTTGTTGGGACTCACACCAATATAATGTATTACATAGCCCCAATATGTTCTCAGTTTGGAAAAATGTCTTCTAGGTCTAAAAATGTAATTTATTCCTCACGGAGATAGATGTACAAGAGCGTACACACACACACACACACACACACACACACACACACACACACACACTCACTCTCAATTGGGTAACATGGTTAGGGGCTTTAAATCTCATTGACCTTAGGTAGTCTTGCCCTGAATTCAATTTACACCTGTTTAAAAAAGGGGTGGTCTCAGCAGAGGGTACTGAATTTATTCAAGTAGTGACACTCGGCCAGCCACGAGATAGCCTACTTAAGTAATACTCGCAGTTTACTCAAAGATGCCTTATAATTCTAATATATTTAAAGTTTATATGTATGGATAGAAAATTCAGTTATATTACAAGGTAATATCTCTCAAAGACAGAAATTCAGATAGGCCCCTATAGATGGGGGACACATACACACACTAGAGGGTCTCGACGGGTCCCGACGGGTCGGGCCAAGTTCGGTCAAAAATGTATAAATTGTATTCGGAATTGGGCCGGATTCAGTCAGTTTTCAGTGAAAATGTAGTGTAAAAATAAATAAAATCCTATTGTCTGTCCTGTTTATTGCTTGGGGACTGTTTATAAGTTTAAGTTGGGGGTGGGGGGCGGCAGTAGCTCAGTCCATAGGAACTTGGGTTGGGAACCTGAGGGTCGCCTGTTCGAGTCCCCGTCCGGACCAAATATGGATCGTGGACTGGTGGCTGGAGAGGTGCCAGTTCACCTCCTGGGCACGGCCGAGGTGCCCTTGAGCAAGGCACCGAACCCCCCAACCGCTCGGGGTGCCTGACCAAAGGGCAGCCCCCTCACTCTGACATCTCTCCACTTTGTGCATGTATAGGTCCTGTTTGTGCATGTGTGTGTCTTTCAGACCTGTGTGTAATTGACAAGCAAGAGTGAAAACATTGAATTTCCCCTCAGGGGGATTAATAAAGTAAAAAAAACTTATAAAATTTATCTTATTTTGTCATATTTCTCCTTCTCCCCTCGCTGGAGTGGAGCGTTGGACCTCCTGCCTCCTGCCGCCCGCTCCCGCCCGCCCGCTCCCGTCTCAAACACAGAGGTCTCCCTCTCTGCGGAGCACCCACGGCGCACGCCTGGCCTGTTTAATAGCTTGTAACCATAACAACTGTGTGACACAAACTCAGTGCTTTAGTAATTAAATAATGTCGGGCTCGGTTCGGTTTCGGACATAACAAAACAGAACGACTGTTGGGTTCGGACAGAAATATGCGGCCCGTGCCGCACTCTAACACACACAAGGAAAACCGGATATTATCATCAATTTATAAACAACCCCTGGAAGCCCCGGACAGGACGTCAAAATTGGACATGTGTGGGCAAAAGAGGACATTTGGTCAGCCTAAGATATAGTTAATCTGTTTCTGAATAACAATGTCTTTCTGTTCTTTACCTGTTTCGACTGGCTATAATGTGTGCACTAATAATGGTTGTTACAAAGGGGTTTTGTTAACTAGATGTTTTTAATAAAAAAGGACATCTGCATAGTTTCATCGTTTTAAACCACTGCTCCCCAACATTTCGTTAAAGTCTAGTGTGTAGGATTAAGGGGCATCTATTGGCAGAAATACTAATATATTTTCATTAGTTTTCAACCACCAAGAGTTGTTGTGTTTTTGTCAATGTAGAAGGAGCCATTTATATTTGCAAACCAAGCAGGTCCTCTCCCATGAAGTCCACCATGTTGTTTCTATTGTAGCCCAGAATGGACAATAGAACACTGGCTCTAGAAAGGGCCATTTCTGTTTTCATGCTACAGAAGTTTCAGTCCTGTAGCCTCTAAAGCCCAGTTCAGATCAAAAATTCGCAATGAGACAAGCTGAAACATGCTACTACTTGCACCGTTCAGCAACGTTCTAACAACCTGCCAGTTCACACTAATGCAGCTAAACGAGACAGTGTATCATCTCGCTGCAACAACTCTCTGTACCTTGGCTCTGTTTGCAGTTTTTCAGGTTTATTTTGTGGCTGAATATAATTTGTAGCTTCTTAAAATACTAGTCCATACCCATTGGTAGCTTTGTCACCTTCTACCTATGCCAATCCTCAATCCTCAATGACAGTTTCACATAGATTGACCACGTCAGTGAGTAAAAAAAACGTGGGATAGACAGAATGACTGACTGACAGAATGACACACTGACAGTTTCCGTGATTATGTACAGCATGCCATACCATGACTTGGTCATACCAAAAATTAAAAGAAAAACCAAAACATTCAGCCACAGGGGGAGCCACAGTGATCGGTCACATTTTAGTCATTTTTAAGCATTTTTCTGTTGTTACAGCGCCACCCAGTTACCAATTAGAGTTAAATTTCTCCAGTCACCTTGAGGCGTCCTGTTCTACATATCTACCAAGTTTAGTAAAAATCAATATGGCGGTTAGGCCTAGATNGCCAATTAGAGTTAAATTTCTCCAGTCACCTTGAGGCGTCCTGTTCTACATATCTACCAAGTTTAGTAAAAATCAATATGGCGGTTAGGCCTAGATAACAAATGAGCTCTCTAGCACCCCCATTTTGTTTGACAGGGTCAATAATGGAGGGGTCCCCTCAGATTATGTGTGCTCATATGCCTACAAAGTTGCGTGGTGATCGGTGAAACCCTTGAGATGTTATACACCTTTATGTGATGAGCCACGCCCTCCGCAATATTCATTGCCTTATAGAAGCTCAGTTTTAGTAAGTTTTCCAACTTTTGCCAAGAGGGAACTTTAGATATTGGTCCCTAGATTATGTTCACCGAGTTTCATGCAGATTGGTCAAACTTCCGAGGAAGAGATCGATTTTAAGTGTTTTTCAAGAAATTCGAAATGGCGGAAAATCTATAAAACCGGAAGTTGTGGGTTCTTGATGCAAATTTGTTCCTCATGAGGAGAGGCATCTCTGTGTAAAGTTTCATGTCTCTACGACATACAGGGCATGAGATATCCCCATTCAAAGTTTGCAATTTCAGTCGGTTGCTATAGCGCCCCCCTTTGGCCAATTGATGTAATATTGCTTCATTCGCATCCTCCCATGACCCTCTACCACTGTGCCAAATTTCACATGGATTGACCAAGTCAGTGAGGAGGAAAACGTGGAACAGACATAGACAGACAGACACACACACACACACACACACACACACACAGTTTTCGTCATTATATAGTAAGATAGTAAGATGAATTAGGATGGTGATAGTGAGATACCAGCTACAACTACATCTGTAGTAGTGATGAACAAGTGAGCATCAAATTGACTGTATTCATAATAAATACACCACAATAGTATAAGTAAGCAAGTAAGCAGTGCCAATTAGTTAGTCAATGAGAATGTGTGTGTGTGAGGGGGCATAAGCACATACGAGCAGCAGCAGCAACCCACCGTCCTACACCAGCACACGTGAGGATGGAAACAGAACACTGGGCAAGGACCAAACACCTGCCGCACCAAGCGAACACGCCGTCTGTGGTCATTTTGACTTGACCAGCAGACTTCACTACAGGCCAACTGGCTGTTGAAACAGATGATGTGCCTTACATTCTCAAACCAGCCACAAGCGATTTGACAAGCGGAGTTGCAGGTGACACCATCAGCCAACTTGAGTCGAGCTCAGAACGACCAGTTCTAAAACGGTTTCGTCTCGTCACAAATCTTTGGTCTGAACTGGGCTAAATGTCACTAAATCCTAAACACTAGACCTGTAACTACAGAGTACCTTTTCAATGTTTCAAAATGTTCTACAAAGATTGAAAAGAAGCACATGTATAAAAGTTATTTTAAATCAATACAAATGCTTCAGGGTGTGCTGGTAGTGGTAGTCTGCAACAGAAACTATTGAACACATACTTTACTCACTCTCAGCAACAAGGAGAGACATAAAATGCTCTTCTTCAAAGTGAGACCTACTGACCTTACCTACCAACTAATTCTTCTCTCATTTATTCGAAGCTGACAGCTCAGTCAGTTTAAAAAAGCAGTCAATTTTATTTTATACTTTATACTGTCAGTGAGAGGCAGACTGTGCTGAAATGAAGGACTCAAATCTGAGCCAAATCTGTAGCTCTCAATAAAGCTGGAGCAAATCCGTCAGACTTGATAAACCACCTTTTGCCATATGTGGTATTAATAATAACAAGTTAAATATAACATGGCATATCTAAGTGAGCATGACATTGGTTTGAACGTAAGTGCTGACTCACCGAGGAGACGTACTGGATTTCCCGGCAGAGTTTCGTCTCCCTGGGGAAATCTGCCAGATCCAGGAAGTTGTCCACAACCACCTGGCCAATAATGTCATGGCGCGAAAACCGGTCGAAGTCGTAGACGCTGAAGTGCAGCTTACGTGTGGGAAGCTCAGAGTACGCCACAGGAAACAGGAAGACCTCATCAAACACAGGGTTCAGCGTCTTGCGGTGCACCTTGGTCTGGTGCTTGGTCTTACGATCGGGGAGCAGGTAGATCTTAACATAAGGGTCAGAGGTACCGGAGAAGTCCTTGGCTGGCAGGTCCTCTGCTTTGTGGATCTTAACTATTAACTGTTCCAGGTCACAGTCAAATTTGAGGATAAAATGGAGGCGCCCACAGCCGCCGCCTCTGCGACTGCCTTCGTCTCCCTCAAGGGAGCGCTGTTTGTACAGCTCGGGTTTGAGACGACCAAGGCCCAGCCCCATTCCAGTGAGGGAGTCCTGCCTTTGGAACTGGGCCACATTGAAGTCTGGGTTGGACAGGTTCATATGTCTGCGAATGGACCCTTGTCTGTGGGCAGAGGAAAACAAGAAACATGAATATACAACATCATGGACTGAATCACATTTACATCCACACTAGATGATCCTGCATCTCACAATTTACACACAGTGCTAACGTGGCGTGCCAATGCAGGAAGTAGCATGCCCCATACGTAGCATGGTGAAAAGCTGTGTGTAGTGTCACTAACTGTCAACTTAATAGTAACTTTACTGCCATAATCTTTTCATAATCTTAAATATACTTTAGTTGCAGAGATACCGTAGAAACAATCTGAAGAATTTTGGCATCCAACATTAATAAACCTTGGCACTGAAAAAGGTTTTGCAGAATATATTGATGTTTTTGTCTGGCAGTGGTGTCGAGAGCGATGAGCATGATCACTTCAAACACAAATTATGTAAAAGCTGGATGGAAGCACTTATTAAAATTTAGTAGTTCTGACTAAGACAAAAAAAAAAATATCTAAAGTCTTACACTGACCCAATTTCAGATATTGAGTGACCAGAGGATGACGGTTCAGTGGTCTGTCTCTGCATGCGAGGGTTGGTGTGAACCCCATTTTCCCGGCTTTTACTCTGCGCGTCCAGAGGGATGTCTGGAGATGTGTGACTGATCTTCATAGCTGCCTCTGGTGTGGCCATGACCACGGGTGGCGGTGACAAGGGAGTCACTGGAGCCTCCACTGACACCACAGATGCCATAGGCGTGGGCTCTCTGGCGATGGAGCACTGCGATGACTCACGGCGGTTGTGTGTCGGGGGGTCCACGGCTGTGTAAACTGGCTGCCTGGGTGCGGGCTGCGAGGGCAGAGGGCTCATGGAGGGGTTGAGGTGCCCATGGGCCTCCTTGGTGGTGGGGGAGAGCCCACGCTCCCTCCATGGTATCCAGCACAGCTTCCAGGAGACAAACAAGGAGACCCCAAACAGGGCCAAGCCACAGGCGGTCACCACCAGTGACAACAGACTCACCGATATATCTGAGAAGACGACAAGAGAGACAGGAAATAAAGGTCTGACAGTGAATTCTGTTTGCTGTTTACCTTCACCCCCTCATCATCACTGTCAGTAGCAATTTATATGTATTAAATAGTGTGAAAACCTTTCTACAAATATTTCACCATAGTGTTATGATCAATAACACTTATGGGTATGTGATATGTAAGGCTGGTCTCCCATTCACCTGTGGTATCACATTCGAAGAATCTCTTCTGACAAATCAGGCTTCTTGATTTGCAAAACTGATGACAAATCATGAATCTTTGCACTATGTCACAAAAAACTTTACTTTTCTTTATCTTATTATAACTGCGGGGTCTCTGTTAGTTTTCCCTCTTCTTTTCTTCCCTGTGACAAAGAATCCTTGACAAGATTAATTAGGATTAGCCACATTTATTTAATTATCCTCTGGAGCCTCGTATCTGCCCCCCAAGTGGAGTGTGCCCCATGCTGTAATTTGCAGGCCTTCGCTGATAACAGAGGAGGAATAGCATGCTGAAACAAAAGCAGCTGTAAATGACTGTTCATGCATTCTCACTGAAACACTGTAGTACTGTTTAGCAGTTCAGCTGTTATTTATTCACAACTATTTGGTTATTTGAAACACCTAGATGGTGCGGCTTGGACACATCATCAGAGATGAACTCAGGGTCATAGGGTGTTTTGGGTTTTTGGTCATCAGACACCCTCACCTGGGTGACCCAGCCATCATCAGTGTCCAAGCAGTGTGCTACACCATGGATTTAAAATGTTTGCAACAGTATTGGAAAGATGGATTTAAAGTAAACTGAGTTTCCAACCTCTTTATATAAGTCTATGGTTAAAACTGTGTATTATTGTGAAAGTAAATGAACACAGGGTGAACACTGCCAGCTTGTTGGCGTCAACACCGACAGGTAGAAACCATCTTAGTTTATTTGTCAAGTGGAAGTCTACATTGCCATTAACACACACACAGAAATTCATGTTGACATAACCTTTAAAACTGTTATATTTAGAAGAGAAATCGATATTGTGTCAAACACTTGCCCGCCTATTTTCCAAACCAAAAAGAGTTGATTTTTGCTCAACAGACTTGTCTTCTGCTAAAGCAGCAGTTATACAAAGCACAGAGCAGCAAATTGAAGGTGTCTGTGTGACAGTCATTCATTCATATTCTGTAACTGCTAATCCTGTTCGGGGTCGCATGGGGGGCTGGAGCCTATCACAGCGGATATTGGGTAAGAGGCAGGGTACACCTTGGACAGGTTGCCAGACTATCACAGGACTAACACATAGAGACAGACAACCATTCATGCTCACATTCACACCTACAGGCAATTTAAATTCACCAATTAACCTGCATGTCTTTGGACTGTGGGAGGAAGCCGGAGTACCCAGAGAAAACCCACGCTGGTAACAATGCTAACCACTGCCCCACCGTGCCGCCAACAATGTTTGCAGTAAGCATTAATCACTTACCATGCATCATGGCTGCATAATAAAACCAGACAACCAGACCCACCAAGTCTTCTGCAGTACAAGTAGAGCCAGACATGCTCCAGCAAAAATGCGGTAGCCATCATGCACAACACAAATGTATGTTAATGAAGTTGTGGGCAAGAGCAGAAGCAGTGGCTGTGGGAGTATAAGAGCTTTCCAGGAGTATCACACCAGTTTGCAGTCTGTCAAGTAAGAGTCTATGGTTTCAAAACTTGACACTGAATATTACTGCAGTGCATTTGTTTACACCAGCACAGGGGTGTGCGAGTCACCATGGAAAGGGAGGTGAGGCGTGAACCAACAGAGTCATCAAGGGCTTTCTGAATCATCTCTGTTCTCAAGCAGTGGGTGACTTCTCCCAGAAGAATTCTTTTTTGAAAGATGAATCCTAGAAACAGCTGCAGCACCAACAATGCTACGACCAAAGGCATGGCTCTTGGCAATTATATGAATTTTCTGAACTTTTGTTATTAGTTGTCAAATGAATTGATATCATCATTGCAAAGATGATCTACATAACATTATTGATTTACATATAACCCTTGTGTTTTTGGGTTTTTTTTGCCTCACTTCCTCGTTGTTTGGGGGGCTCCCAGCCTCCACTGCTGTATGTGTAAACAAAATCTTTTATTTATTTATTTTTCCAGTAAACACTGACTTTATTAAAACCCAATATGTGGGAAAACATTAAAACAGGACAACAGTATCAGAAGTAATGCCTCTGTTTCAATAATGGATTTGTGATTATTAATTTAAAGGTACTATGCAGGAATTTTTGGTCAGTGTGCCCACGATTTTCATAGCTTCCTCTTAGATGTGTGCTGGTTGTTCTGGCACCTGGTCATTACCTTTTTATAAAGTCCCGACTTACCTCTGCACTGTGCCCAAAAAATGTCCCAAACACGGCAAAATAAGAAGACAGTACTCTCTGTCAGTGTTAGACCATGAACTAACTGTGATTTATACCTCTAAAAACATGAGCATTCTTTATGCACACTGACCTGATACCAGTGATAAACAGTTTTAAAAAAAACCTGAGCAGGATTTATGATGTGTAATAAAATTAAATTGCTTTCTAATTTGAGCCACAAAATAATGATAGGCCATTTGCAATATGTTTTGCCGTAAAAAAAAAAAAAATTGTAAAAAAAAATGGTTATAGATATGCTAAATGTTTGATGCAGCAGAAGTGGTCCTCAATAGTGTTTTCATAACTGCTCATATCAGCTAATAGACTTCATCAGTGGAGTTTAGGTTAGAATATAGGTCACATTATAATAACGTTGGAGTGCATTTCTGAGATTAGTTTTTCAAAACCTTCTTCGCTGTGTTTAATTTTCAGAGAGATACATGTTTTATATGCTGTGCCCCCTCACTATCTGTGTTCCTACACATGCTTGAGTTTTCATTAGGTAGAAATGATTAAAGCTCCTCTCCTAGCGCTGATTAAAAACTCATCTCTGTTCATCAGAATAACATATTTAAAAGTTCTTCTCCATAGAAAAAATATCTTGATTCCTTAAAATGGCTTTGATGCAAGTCCACACCTTTGCCTCATTTAGTATGCGTGGATCTATTGATATGCAAGTTAGTCCCCACCCCAATCTCCAGCTCAAACTTATCTGCTCACCTTCGACTCTGCTCATCACTCCCTAAAACATTAGGAGCATAACGATAATAGATAACACGAGCCATCAGCTAGACTATATTATTAAACAGCTAATAATGTGCTGCTAATTTTAGATCAACCTTGTTCCAGATCACCAACTCTGACAAGGTGAGGTGGAAGTCAAAGCTTTCAAAGTGACTTGGTTCCTTAGATATGTGACGTATGAAACCCTGCCTGACTGAGTCCGTGTTTTTCATTGGTACACTGCTCTTCCAAGGCGGGTATGCTCAGCCATGATGCTGGCTTCTTTTTTCACTAATGATATGTCTTGCAGCATAAAAAAAAAACACCATATGGACATGATAACAAGGTTAAAAACTTGATTTCGTTGGAAGGGGTCTTTAAGTGCTGATTACTGTAATCACTCAACAACAAGATAACAGCAGTTCGCAACATGACTAAAGGGCCATCCAAACCAAGAATGATAACTAAAACATTGTCAGTATGCATAAATATATCTATATACCACGATCAGCCAAAACATTAAAACCACTGACAGGTGAAATGAATAACATTGATTATCTTGTCACAATGCAGTGTTCTGCTGGGATACCTTGGGTCCTGGCTCCACTCACCCAAACACTGTTGCAGATCAAGCAAACCCCTCAACAACACTCCTCGATGGCAGTGGTCTTCCCAGCAGGACAATGTGCCATGCCACACCGCAAAAACTGCTCAAGAATGCCCCAATGAACGTAACAAAGAGCTCAAGGCATTGACCTGGCCTTGAGTTCCCTATATGACTGAGCATCTGTGGGATATGCCAATACCCCAGACGCACTGCCCGTCCACGGTGGGGCCTCTATGGATTGGACATAGCTCTGACATGTCAATGTATGGACACAGGAAGTCTGGGGATGCCCCGTGGTGTCTGGCACCAGGGTCTTCATGGCAGATCCTTCGAGTCCTGTGGGTTGCGAGATGACCTACCAGCATGTCCCAAGGATGGATTTGGATCTGGGGAATTTGGAGGCCAGGTCAAGGCTTTAAGCTCTCTGTCATGTTCCTCGGGGCATTCCTGAGCAGTTTTTGCGGTGTGGCATGACACACTGTCCTGGGGGCACTGCCATTGGGGAGTGTTGTTGCCATGAGGGGGTTTGCTTGGTCCGCAGTGGTGTTTGGGTGGGTAGTGCCTGTCAAGTGGCATCCACATGAATGCTGGGACCCCAATATATATATGTATGTATATCTCACTATGTCTTACTATATAATGACGAAAACTCTGGGTGTTTGTCTGTCTGTGTGTCTGTTCCACGTTTTCCTCCTCACTGACTTGGACAATCCATGTGAAATTTGGCACAGTGGTAGAGGGTCATGGGAGGATGCGAATGAAGCAGTAGTACATCAATTGGCCAAAGGGGGGCGCTATAACAACCGATTGAAATTGCAAACTTTGAATGGGTATATCTCATGCCCTGTATGTCGTAGAGACATGAAACTTTGCACAGAGATGCCTCTCCTCATGAGGAACAAATTTGCCCCAAGAACCCATAACTTCCGGTTATATAGATTTTCGGCCATTTTGAATTTTTTGAGAAACACTTCAAATCGATCTCTTCCTAGGAAGTTTAACCGATCTGCATGAAACTCAGTGAACATAATCTAGGGACCAATATCTAAAGTTCCCTCTTGGCAAAAGTTGGAAAACTTGCTAAAACTGAGCTTCTATAAGGCAATGACTTTAACTATCTGCCTTTCAACGTGCTACCTCAACTACTAATGTACAGTTTTAGCCCACTAACTATCCCACTATTGGCAATGGTACTACTGTACTTTCAATAAAGCAATCGTACTATCAAATTCACAAATACTCTGTCTGAATACATTTCT